GGAAAGTAGCCCCCATAACAGTACCTAGGACCCTTTGGGGTAGAGTTTTATGCAGGTTACACCACCAGATCTCCACCATTAAGGACCAAAATGGGTTTCGGGAGTCCCAAGCCCAAATCCTAAAACATAAACCCTGTAACCTCTCTAAGCCTTAAACTCTAAACGTCCTGGCAGAAGCCCTGAATCCAAATCCTACGTCGGAGCAATAATGATTCCGAAGGAAAGCACCCTACGCTCTTCTATACAAGTGCTCAGGACCCTTTGGGAAAGCCAAAAAACAATCTAAGCAAAACCCCAAACCCTAAACCCTGCCTAAACACGAAACCCTAAACCCTGAACCGTGAACTAAAGCCAGCTCCAGTGCCTTTGCCATCGCCTCTGCCGAGCTCCGGCGTCGACTTGGAGATGGGCACCTAAGAGGGGCCACGGTTAGGGGTTTGGGGTGTGTTCAGTCTCAGGGTATGTTTAGGGTTTAAGGGCTTACGGTTTAGGGGTTGTGGGTTCAGGGAGGGTTCAGGGAGGGTCCTTTAATAGAGCCCTTATGGTCCGTAACGGTGGTTGTTTGGGGCATAGTAGGGTTTAGGCTTAGGGCATAGAGGGCTTATCAAAGTTTGAAACCATGGGCCCCTAGCATGGGCCCTTAACCCTGGGGATCCTAAGGCCTAAGGGTCCATATTGGGGGCCCACACCTTTAACCTTAGAGCTTAGGGTTACTTTCCCAAAGAAGGGTGGACCCCGCAGGACGTTCCGGTGCAGAGCGCCTCCTCCGGCCTGATCTCTCGACGATGCTGCCCGACTGTGCAGCGACTTCATACACTTAAGGTTTAGGGTTTAGGGTTTAGGGTTTAGGGTTCAGGGTTCAGGGATAAAGGTTCAGGGTTTAGGCTTTAGGGTTGAGGGGCGATGCCGGGCGAACGGGACTGACCCGAAAGCCCTTCAGCCACCAGGCGACCAGACGAAGGAACGTCTTGGGATCCGACTCGTGTCCTGCCCTAAAGAAAGTCGCCTCGCCAGCTTCACGGCCACCTCTTAGGGGTTTAGGGGTTTGGGGTGTAGGGATGTAGGGGTTTGGGGTGTAGGGGTTTAGGGGTTTAGGGTTTAGGGGTTTAGGGGTTCAGGGGTTTAGGGGTTCAGGGGTTTAGGGGTTTAGAGGTTTAGGGTCCTTTCTTGCAGGGCCGCCCTTCCTGATCTTCGCAGAGATGCCGCTTCAGGGTCCCACCGGCATTGTTACCCTCTGCCAAGGAGGAAACCCAAAGGGTCCAAGTACCCAAATAGTAGGGTTTCAAGGCCCAAAAACCATTCAGAGTATGGATTTGGGGACCTAAACCCTAAACCCTAAACCCTAAACCCTAAACCCTAGACCTCACTATTTGGGTACTCGGACCCTCTGGGAAACCTCACACCCTGAAGCCGCAAAGCAGCTCCAACAAATGGCTGAGGTGTGCCATCTGTCACCCTAAGGGTCCGTGTACTCCTACAGTATCTACATTGGCCCCAAAGTATATATAGCGACTACTTTAAGGCCAAAGTATATAATACTATTTGGGTACATGGATCTTAAACCCTAAACCCTAAACCCTAAGACCCTAAACCCTAAGGCTACTTGGGTACATGGACCCTAATGGGTCACGGTCAGGTTGAACACCCTCGCCTGCGACCAGCCGCGACGACTCGGCAGTCCAGAGAAACATGGCTCTCAAAAGGGTACCTATAGGGTCATGCCCTACCCCTTTTTTCGGGTACCTACTTTTTTATATAGCAGTTCCTAACCATAAAACTAGGTACCTTAAAAAAAGGGGTAGGGTATGACCCTATAGGTACTGTAAAGGTTTCTCCAAGGGTTTCTCAAAAGGTGCTCTCAAGGGTTCTTTCAGGGTGTAGGGTTTAGGGCTTTAGGGGTTTAATGCATTTCGGGTTTAGTGCAGTTAGGGCTTTAGGTCCTCATAGACGGGATCTATAGACGTGTGTCATAGAGTTGAGGGTTCTAAGCTCCCCGGCCCCGGAGCTTCCACAGGTGGGATTCTACGAGGGTCTTGTCAGGATTACTGCAGGGTTCCAGAGTTTTGGGCCGGGGGGTCCTAAACCCTAAACCCTAAACCCTTTGGGTTTTTTTTTGCCCACTCAAAGGGTCCAAGAAAGGCCGTAGAGTTTCTGTCGGATGGACCGGAAGGATCCACGAAGAAGCCAGCATGGTTTCTACGTGGATCTCTGTGTTTAGGGCCCTTCTTGGCTCCAGGCTTTAGGGTTTAGGGGTTGGGGACCCTAAACCCTAAACCCTAAACCCTAAACCCTAAACCCCTAAACCCTAAACCCTAAACCTTCAGGGGTTGGGGACTTCGGGTTTAGGCTTTGGTCTTTAAGGTTCCTTAAAGTGGTCCAAGCCGAAGCCTCATGTCTGCCTTTGTCCAAATGCGGGCCTCCTTGGGTTTATAGGGCGCCGCATTAAGAGTAGGGTATTAGGCTTGGGGTTTAGGGTTTAGGGTTTAGGGTTTAGGGTTTAGGGTTTAGGGTTTAGGGTTTAGGATTTAGGGTTTAGGGTCTAGGGTTCAGGGCTTTAGGGTGAAACAATATGGGGTTTTCCAACGGGACCGTGTTTGACAGTTACCCGCAGTTATCCCCAACACGCTGACATGCACCCCAACTCTCCTAAACCCAACGGCCTACTCATTAAGTACTGTCTAAGTCTTACCTTAAAGCCTAAACCCTTAGGGTAGTGGCTGAAGTTGATATGCCCCTAAAAACTACGACCTGTAAACCCTAAAACACGATCAGCCCTCCACCCTGAACTGCCCTAAAACTTGTAAACCCTAATCCCTAAACTGCCCCAAACCCTAAACCCTAAACTGCCCTAAACCCTGTAAACCCTAAACCCGAACCCTAAACCCTGCAAACCCTAAGCCCTAAACTGCTTCAAACCCTGTAAACCCTAGGAAAAAATCTACAAAGAAGACTCGCAGCTCTCTAGGATTCCCAACAATATAGGAACCTGATTCAGAAGCCCTGGGCTTCTTGATATCCCGGGGTTTAGGGTTTAGGGTTTAGGGTTTAGGGTTTAGGGTTTAGGGTTTAGGATCCAAGAAGGGCCCTTAGGGATTCCCTAAGGGTCCATGTACCCAAATAGATATACTTTGGCCTTAAGGTAGTCCCTATATAAGAACTTTGGGGCCAAAGTATATACTATTTGGGTACATGGACCCTCGGGGTATGAACCCCAACAGAAATTGGGTTTATAGGGCCAGGGTTTCTTAATCAGGTTCCTACAGTAACCTGGGAAGAAAAAGGGTCTCCCGTTTTGGGTCTTTGGTCCTTCGAAAAAGGAGCCGTAGATCGCAGAAAAGGAATAAAAAGGGGCCCACTGGGACACCGAGCTTCGTCTTACTTCCCCAATACGCCAGGGAAGTTACAAGGTTAAACTTTCCGATTGCTACTGAAGTAGAAGAACCCAAGAACTTCAAAGGTTGGGTATTGGGGAACTACGTCGTTTGAGTGTGTATAGCACCACGGTGTATTACCCTGAGGGTCCATGTATGGTGGACGCCAAAAACTTGGAACATGCGCACCCTGACATCCAGCACTCCCTAAGCGAGCCCATGCAAGTTCCAATTTTGACATAAAGCTGCAAAGTTGGAACATTTGGACTGCAAATGTTCCAACCTTGAGCACGAAAAAACCAAAGTAGGAACCCACGCATGCAGATCCAACTTTACACAAAGTCTACAAACTTGGAACCAAACCAAATTTGCAAGGAAAATGCTGGCCCTGGATTCGAATTGCAAGGAACAACCGCCAAATTGAAAAATGAAAAACTTCATCAAAGTGGTTCCTCACATCTGACACCCTCAAAGTGGTGTTCAAAAGTGGTTCCTTGCCTTCTGGCAGCAAAAAATGGCTCTTCCAATTTGACAGCAAAAAATGGTCCCTCAAATGGCGTCCGAATCTGACAGCAAAAAAGTGGTCCCTCACATCTGACACCCTCAAAGTGGAATTCAAAGTGGCCCCTCCAATCTAACAGCAAAAAATTGTCCTTTATGTTTGACAGCAAAAAAGTGGTGTTCAAAGTGGCTCCTCCAATCTGACAGCAAAAAAAGTGGTCTCTGAAGTGGCGCCCGAATCTGACAGTAAAAAAGTGGTCCTTCACATTGACACCTGAAAAGTGGTGTTCAAAGAGGCCCCCAAATTTAACAGCAAAATAGTCTTAACATCTAACAGCAAAAAGTGGGATTCAAAGTGCTTCTTCCAATCTGGCAGTTCATGGTCTTTTTCAAAATTGTAAAATGCCTTGGAATTTGTATTATTTTTCTGATTTAATTTGTCGCCTTTTAATTAGGCGTTGCCGAATCTCAATTTGGAGTTTATGATCTTCAAAAATTTCAATTTAATTTGGAATCATTTTTTGCTTCACATCGTGTAATCTGCAAACATGCGCGCGAGTGCGCGTGGGTGCGCCCGCGCACACGCGCGCGCATCGGTAGTTGGTCCTTTTTCAATTTGTTTTGTTTTTTTTTAAATTGCACTTTTGTGGTGTTCAAAGTGGCTCTCCAATTTAACAGCAAAAAAATGGTCTCTCACATTTGACCACTTTCTGAGTGGGACCCAATTCTAACAGCAAAAAAATGGTTCCTCACATTTGACACTCTCAAAGTGGTGTTCAAAGTGGCTTCTCTCCAATCTGACAGCAAAAAAGTGGTCCCTCATATCTGACATCCGCAAAGTGGTGTTCAAAGTGGTTCCCAATTTGACAACAAAAAATGGTCCCTCACATTTGACCACTTTCAAAGTGGCGCCCAAATTTGATAGCAAAAAAATGGTCCCTCACATTTCACACCCTTAAAGTGGTCCCTCACATTTGATTTCTCAAAGTGGCGCCCAAAATTTGACAGCAAAAAAATGCATCACATTTGACACCCTCAAGTGGTGTTCAAAGTGGCCCCTCAAATCTAACAGCAAAAAACTGTTCTTTATGTTGGACAGCAAAAAAATGGTGTTCAAAGTGGCTTCCAATTCTGATAGCAAAAAAGTTGTCCTCACATCTGACAATCCGCAAAGTGGTGTTCAAAGTGGTTCCTCCAATTTGACAGCAAAAAATGGTTCCTCACATTTGACCACTCTGAAAGTGGCGCCCAAATCTGACAGCAAAAAAGTGATTCCTCACATCTGACACCCTCGATGGTGTTCAAAGTGGCCCCTCAAATCTAACAGGAAAAAAATGTCCTTTATGTTTGACAACAAAAAAGTGGTCTTCAAAGTGACTCTTCCATCTGACAGCAAAAAAGTGGTCTAACGCCCTTAAAGTGACGTGCAAAGTGGCCTCTCAATTGGACAGCAAAAAAATGTTCTCACATCTGGTTTCCTCAAGTGGTGTTCAAAGTGGCCAACAGAAAGTAGCTCCACATCTGAAGTGTCCAAAGTGATCCAAATTCCGTTTTTGCACGATGTTTTGGGTTGCTCGTCAAATTCACGCCTTCACCTGCGCATCCTTCCTTTCAAAACACTCGTTTCTGTGTGCCGTTTCTTTGGAAGTGTTCCTGTTTTGTCTTTGGGCTGTTTCCCTTCCTTCTCGTCCCTTTCTTTTCGACTGTTCTTGTTTTTTTTTTTTCTGTGCACTTCTTTCAAATTTCAGGCTGTTCCCACTCATTTTCTTGTGTCCCCACCCTTTCTTCAAATTTTGGAGCTGTTTCTCGTTTCTGTGTGTCCCTTCTTTGAAATTTTGGATCCCTCCTTCTCTTTTCCATGTGTCTAAGTGCAAGGTGCGAGGGTGCAAGGTGCAAGGGTGCAATGCAAGGTGCCTTGTTCAATCCTCCAGAAAAGGTTTACTCATGCTTCTGTGTTTTGCATTTTTGTCTTTTCCGTCGGTGTGCTTTGCATGTACTTGCTGAAACGCAAAGTTGGAACATGTCATCTTGCTGTCAAGCGCAAAGTTGGAACATTGCTTTCATTCACAAATTTGAGCTGTCATTTGAAAGAGTTTTGGCTCAATTTGGGCTTTGCATTCATTTGGCTTTGGGGCTTCTGTTGGGGCGTTGCACTTGGATTCACTGGGCTCGAGATCAGAAAGGATGAAATGCTCAAAAATTTCGGTAGATTTGGAGATAGTTGGGTTCACTTTACATAAGCTTGCATTTGGCTTTTGAGGTTTCTGTTGGTGCGTTGCATTTGGACACAAGACTTGGGGGCTAAACAAATACTAAAAAAATTGGGCTTTCACTTGGATGCCTTTCATTGGGTTTGAAATTTGGAAAATGCACATGTCAAGAATTTGGACTATCAGGCACATTCTCAAAAAATGCATCTGGGACATCGTTTGCATTTCTTGGGTTCACTTTTGGGCTTGCTGTCAGGACGTTGCATCTGGAAGCATGTTTTGCACTCACGTTTTCGGACTCACGTTGAGCTTGCATTTTTGACTTTTGGGCTTTCACACACTTAAAGCATTCAGGTTTGCTTTGCTACATTTCTTCTTTGGTTTTTGCCTGCTCGTTTGGCTTCGCGTAAAAAATATTTTGCAAAATGTTCCAACTTTGGATTTTGCAACATTGGAACATGCATTTGGGGTCACCAAGCTTCAAGCTCCTTTTTGTATGTTCCAGCTCTGCGAGTTGTGTTCGCCCATCGTTTTCCCTTTTGTTGATGTGCCGGCTCCCCGTAAAGGTTTGGAGGTGCCGACCATTTCTTTCAATTTTGAATATTGATTTTTTTTTCTTTTGTTGGCCCCTTCGCTTTTCTTGACCCTTGAAGCTTTGGGTGTGCCGACCCTTCCTTTTGCTGATCTTTCATTTTCACGGCATGTGTGTTTGCTTTTTCGAGCAAAAGAACTGGAAACTTTTCCACATGCATGAAACCAATTTTTTTCCGAAGCATGCTTTTGTTTAGACCAGAAGCATTTACTTGTCAGTCATGAGCAACCACATGTTACTTTTTGCTTTTGCCATGATGCTTATGTATACATTTTATGCATACATACATATATATATATATATATATTTTTTTTTTGTTTTTACGAGCACGAAACCATCCGACGATTCACCGTTTGCCTTACATAAACACTACTACGCCATATATATATATATATGCGTACAGGACATATCTGTATTTTTGCGCAACGGGAGTGCTGCGCAGCGCTGCCCCTGGTCTACGCACGGGACGGGGGTCGTGGTCCAAATTGTTTCGCTGAGCCGCAAAATCCATCATCGCAATTCAGGTCGCTGACAATCTCGCAAAAAGGAACTGTTTTCGCCAAGGCTGCTGAGGCATGTGTTCGCAGCCCTTGCTAATCACGCGCCAAGCCTCTCGTGTCGAGTTACTAGAGTCTAGTTTATCAACGACAGCCACCGCAATTCGAATGAAACATAATCACTTGCCAACGCTGCTGAGGCGCGCGGCTGTTGCTGCCTTGGCCCTGCCGCTGCTGCTTCAGCTCG